AACATATACGCTGTTAGAACCATTAACGTTTCACATAAAATGACGTCTCCATCGTACTCTGTGGGGCAGGATCATCCAAGTCATCATAAATCTGGTAGACGTCTTCAGACTCTTCCCTGTCGTCTGGCAGAAAGTCGGCATCGCTGCTGTCGTCCTTTGCCATGCCAAGAGCGGCATACATGTAGTTCAGCTCTGTCTGCTTTCCCTTTCGCAGGGCCCGCCCTAAAATGTTTGTATAAGAAAGGTTAGAAAATTCTAAAACAGTATCTGCAGCAGATCAGTTCATCCTAACCATGTGGCGGCGCACCCTCTGCCTCACTCATAAGCGAGTCTTCTTGGAGGGCTGCGGATGGAACTCTCCTCGCGCTTCCGTGTGCGGTCCAGCTGTGCAGGGCTCACCGATCGCGCCGCCCGAGGTCTGGATGCTTCTGGCGTCGTGTAGTTCTGGAAATATGAGGCCCTCCGCTGTCGTACTCAACGTGATCACCTAAAATTCGTATCTAAGCGAACACGGTAATTTAGAGAAATAAGTTTCCTTGAAATTTTTGAAACTGAAATACAGCAACCATATTTGTCTCAGATTGGCTAAAACAACTTTAAGTTAAGGGTGCACGAACCACTCCGCAGTCGTTAAGTGCAAAAAGGGCTAACCTCTTCTACTTTAACCTTGAGACCGTTTTTTATCACCAGAGATAAACCGATCCTATAGGTAACTGTTTGCCCCGGACATACAGTCAAGTGGTACTTGCTCAGCACACTCGCTGCAGTAATTTTTATCTCCATCATTGCTAACTTGGGTACCGAGACAAGTGCGAGGTCCAGCGTTGAAAAGAGGGTACTTGAAGGGGGATACAGTGACGAGCTTCCCCGTTGTTGCATTGATCCAACGTTCTGGTTTGAACTCTTTGGCATCTATGCCCCATAGATGTGTCATCCTTCCCATTGAGTAAGCTGACCAGCTTACAGCTTCGCCAGCTTTCATGACGGTCCCATCGCACAGAACAACATCTTCGAGTGCTTCGCGGATGTTGGACGGAATAGAAGGATATAACCGTAGCACCTCTTTCACAGTAGCTTCAAGGTACAACAGATCGCTTACTTGGCACTAGGCTTGGGAAATGGATTGAATCGGATCAATCGATATGTCTCGTCTGACTAATCCGATCGAGGTTGAATTCGTTTCGATTTTATTCGATTAAATCCGATTGATCGATCGATCGGATCCAATCAAAAATGTATGAGATTCTAGGAGAAACACAAAAATGATATAGCTCCTTGTGTTGGGATTCACAAGAAATACGTTCTTGTAGGTATAGAGTCTACCCAATGACATATAAAACCTTTACGATTCTATGAAACGATTATGACGTTCTGCATTAAATACTTGAGGTCATATTGTCGTACCGTACGTGTTGTTCGTCTAAATACTTGAGGTCATATTGTCGTACTGTACGTGTTGTTCGTCTCCAGGATGCGTTTTCCTGCAGCAAGAGTCCTAGCACGAAGTTTTCTGTTAGGAAGTGTTTTTCGTAGGAGCCTAAGGCAGAGGAAAGTGACGAATTTTATTGTGTGTGGCTCTACGCTACCCGTCGGGACGCCGTCATGAAATCGTCGTGCAGCATCTCGTTTATCGCGGAATACCAGCAATAGAGACTCCCGGAACACATCCGAAAACTACGCCGCCGATTACGTCTGCGGCTAGCCCACTGCAGACTCCGGCGGAAAATTAATGAGCATATATCCAACAGCGTCGGCGACACGCCTGCAACGCTGTAGCCACGTCGTACCAGCACTTCTGCCTGCTTGTTGTTGAGCACCACCCAGCTCATCGAAGTGCCCGGGAACTTCCACGCCCCGTTGTGAAGCTGTCCATGGCGAGCCGAACATGTACAAGTCGCTCATCAAGAGTCTTGATTGGCGACTTGTACATGTACCTGATTCAAGATCATTGCCGCGCTGTCCGTCGTGGTACGCCCCACCGCTTACCACTTCACCGCCTGAACTATCTGCTCCTCGAAGCTCAAGTCCAAGTGTGATACCTCTCCCTGGCAGTGTCTACCAGCACATCACGGCATTGGCTCGCCACTTCTGTCTGATATTCGACGCGGACTCCAACGCCTCGACGGGATCAGCTGCTTCGTCCTTGCTTACCAGCTGTGGTTTCGGCTATTGATGCAGGACTCCTGTTATTGATACACCTGCTGCAGGAGTATCAAAAACTAGGAGTCTATAGCAAAGATGACAGATTTTTTATAATAAAAATATATTGGCCTAAAAACGTTTTTACACAAGGCTGTGAACTTGTCGATCCGATCCGATTGAATCCGATCGGAACGAAAGTGATCGATAGATCAGCCAATCGGATCACAATCGATCATGATCGGATTTGATCGAATCGATCGATCGGATTTTATTTTCGCAACCCATCCCTACTTGGCACGCAGATGGTGATGAAATTACACCATTTGCAAGCTCTGGGATCTTTGAGAAGATCTCGTCACGGATTTTCTCCTCAACCTTGGGATGTTGACTCACAGTGTAAAAGAACCAGCTGAGAGCTGCAGTCGTCGTGTCTCGACCTGCGGTCATGAAGGATACGACGATATCTCTCAGATACTTGGGATCGAGGTCTTGATCGCTCTTGGCGTCGTCGCTAGCGCCGTCTAAGAACAATGAGATAATATTTTTCTTTCCATCAGTAGCGGCACTGCCCGCTGTCTTGCGCTCCTCCATTGAGCGGGAGATGATGTCGTAGCACGTGTTGTCGATGACCTGGATGCTCTTCCTCAGCTGGTGCTCGCTCCCCACGTCCAACCATCTCTGAAGCTTCCACATCCACATGGGCTCTAGGAACCGCTCAAACATCCTCTGTTGGGCGAAGTTGAATGCTGCTTCCACCGGATGTACCGATTTCGAGACTAGACCTCCAAACTTGATACCAAACGCGATCTCCGAGATGACTTCGAACGTGAATCGATTAAGCAAATGAAACAAATCCAGAGACTCACCGTTGTCCATGGAATGCTCTAAGATCTCATTCAAAGTGTTCACATTTTCCTGCACGACAGTTGCCATTGACTCTTTTAATTCTCTCATGGAGAACAAATTGCTCGCCGTTTTGCGTTGTTGCATCCACTTGTGGCTATCAACAGTGAAAATTCCATCCCCCATCAGGCCACTCAGCACTCCATGCACATATTCGCCCTTACCGAAACTTTTGAACTGCGTGGACAAAATATCTTCGATGATCTCTGGTTTGCCTACTACGAATCCCTTGGGTCGTCCGACACCATTGAACATCCAATGTCTCCCCTCCACGCTCTCAGTCATTTCAGCCTCCCAGTCGTAAAAGTGCTCCGCATGTTTGATTGCTGCCCAGGTCTCACCTATTAGTGGGAGCGATTCGCGGTGTCGAGCTGCTCGCTTTGTTTCAGGAAATAAAAACTTGGAGCCGACCAGAGAGCGAGGGAGCAGGATGCCACATACAAAACAATCGGATAAGCATCTACGTTCGACATTTGTGTCCGCTTCTATCGACTACGTTTGTCTCTGGAGTTCTGATTTAAAGTGTTTTGTGTGCTCGGCGAGAATACTTGTTGACGATGGTTATTGTTGATGCGGGGAAGCTTGTGGGAATGCTTGATTACACTCAAGATGTGGAGATGGATGCTCAAGGGCCTGCCGTTCTCTAGAATGCGTCTCAAGGGGTACAGAGATCTCATTTGTGTTGTAAATGAGACGGTTTGCAAGTTTTCTGAAGCAAGATTGCTGTCGGTTGGTGACGTTGAAGTGGTGTTGTTCTCTGGATATTCATATCCGGATTTTTAGGGGCGATCGAAAACCGTCGACGATCCTCTATAAAATATTAGGGTGCTACATTTGTAATTATTAAAAGTAAAGTGGCTTGCAAGTGATAGGCTAAAAGGACGGAATACCTAATAAACTACGGTAAAGCATGGTGAATGTCGTTCCAAGCCGCCTGGGTCAACATTCACGCTATCTGGTTTAAGGTGGATGTTGCTCCAATATACGATACCACCGATGGTGGGTGATACAGTACATGAAGGCTACATGATTTAAAGAAGGGAATAGATGAATACTAATGGGATTCCTATCGAGGCCGTCTCGCGTCAAGACAGCAAGGTCGGACGACAACGCACGTTCGACCGCGGCTTCTTCATTTTGGCTAAAACTGTATCCTCATACACATCAACCTTACGACGTAACGCGTAAGTAAGCCCCCCCCTTCCTCTCACAGACACACATCACACACATCAGAGGAAGAAAACAAATTACCACGTCGGGTATTTCAAAGGGAGGACTGACACTAGAGAAAATCTTTCTTGCTCCGCTTCGTCATCCGACTCGCAGGATTCCTCAGCGTTCATCTTTCTATGTCGTCGCCACTCGAGTGAAAACGTTATCGCAGTTGTATCTCATGGCCCCCCTTACGAAAGAGTTTTTGGAGTATTTTGCTCCAAGTCGTGATGCGCTGGCAGAAACCCAAAGACTTCATGCAATTGAGGATCGAACAGATTAAGAAACCATAATGCTGTGGAAAAATTGTTACAGGTCTTCCTAAAAATACAGTACTTTCTTAAGTTAGGGTACCAACTTGTTTTCAAGTTTTTGAAGTTTGGGGAGAACCACTCAATTGAATGACTATCATTCTCGCTCGGTTTGTTGATGTCTTCTTCTAGACTGGAGGTCTTAGTTAAATCGCAATTCTTCTCCTTTTTTTCTTCTAAAAAGTCCTTCATTCCGCACTAGTTATTACTTTTTGAAAATGCCGTAATATCCAGAGCTTCACCGGGCTTAGCACGGCATTAGGTCAATGAAATATTTGGCTTTTGACTTTGTAGTACCGGTATGTGCCATACACTGGATCATTGTGTTTGGAGGGTGAGCGACTACCTAGGGATTATTTTCAGTGTTTTTTTTATTCACCTTGAGCGAAAAAGAGTTTGAAGAAATCAAGCGCACTTTGGTCGGAGCACACCCTAGTAAGATGCATGAGCAACCTTCTTTACCTTGACTTGGAGACCATTTTTCATCGCGAGTGACAAGCCTATTTTGTAGGCAACAGTTTGTTGTGGAGCGACCGTCAGATTGTACTTGCTCAGCACACTAGCAGCAGTGATCTTTATCTCCATCATCACTAGCTTGGAGCCCAGACAGCTACGTGGTCCTGCGTTGAAAATAGGGTACTTGAAGGGGGACACAGCAGCAAGTTTTCCCGTCGACGCATCGATCCAGCGCTCTGGTTTGAACTCTTTCGCATCTGGGCCCCATACTTGGGGCATTCTCCCCATGGCATATGATGACCAGCTAACTGTTTCGCCGGCCTTCACAACCGCTCCATCGCACAGAACAACATCTTCAAGTGCTTCACGGATGTTCGACGGGACAGCCGGATATAACCGAAGCACCTCCTTCACAGCAGCGTCAAGGTAGACTAGCTCCTTTGCCTGAGCTGCGGACGGAGCTGAAATCGTACCATTTGCCAGCTCAGGAACCTTTGAGAAGATCTCTTCACGGATATTCTCCTCGACTTCGGGATGTTGACTCACAGTGTAAAAGAACCAACTGAGCGCCGAGGCTGTCGAGTCTCGACCTGCGGTCATGAAGGACACGACGATATCTCTCAGGTATTTAGGATCGAGGCCTTGATCGCTCTTGGCGTCGTCACTAACACCGTCTAAGAACAACGAGATGATGTTTCTCTTTCCACCAGTAGCGGCACTGCCCGACACCTGTCGCTTCTTCATCGAGCGAGAGATGATGTCGTAGCACGTACTGTCAATGATCTGGATGTTCTCTTTCAACTCGCGTTCATTCAGCCATCTCTGGAGTTTCCACAGCCACGTCGGCTCTAGAAATCGCTCACACAATCTTTGCTGAGCATTATTGAAAGCTGTTTCCACCGGATGCTCCGATTCCAAACGCAGACCTCCCAACTTGATGCCAAAGGCGATTTCAGAGATAACTTCAAACGTAAATCGGTTAAGTAAGCGAAACAAATCCACTGTTTCACCTTTCTCCAAAGCGCACTCGAAGATTTCGTTCACAGCGTCCACGTTTTCCTATACTACAGTGGTCATCGAGCCTCTTAGCTCGCGCGTGGAGAACAAGTTACTCGCCGTTTTGCGTTGTTGCATCCACTTGTGACCATCAACAGCGAAAACGCCATCTCCAATCAGGTCGCTGAGCACTTCACGCACGTATTCACCTTTACCGAAACTTTTGAACTGCGTGGACAAAACATCTTCAATGATCTCGGGCTTACCGATCGCGAACTCGGTAGGTCGACCGACGACGTTAAACATCCAAGGCCTCCCCTCCATCTTCTCAGTCATTTCAGCTTCCCAGTCGTAATAATGCTCCGCATGTTTGATCGCGGCCCAAGTCTCACCTATTAGTGGAAGCGATTCGCGATGTCGAGCTGCTCGCTGTGGCTCGGAGAATAGAATCTTGGAGCCCACCCAGATAGCGAGCGAGCAGGACGCAGCATACAGAACGAGTTGATTTTTGTCCACGTTCGACATTGCCGTCTACTGCGACAGGACTCTGTCTTTGAAGATACGATTGAGAAGTGGGCTTGCTTGCGTACAGTACAGCGTTGGGCTAAAGCTAGTTGAGGCTTAACTTGAGCAGGGCGCTTAATCATGCGAGATTGCATGATGACGATGATCTCTGTTTACGTGGAGAAGGAGAAGATAAAGTTGTGAGATGAACACTGATTGTTTTGTGATACATGCATAGTACATGTATTATTGTGCACGTACGTCCGTCTATCGATATAATACCCCAATGATTGCTCTGGAAAGAAACACTGTACTGTGAAGAATGCGCTTCCAAATTGTCATTAAAATGCAGAGGGTCTTTAACCGTTCGCATTGTGTCCAAAGCCACGACGAGTTGAAGCTTCGATCGAACAAGTAAAGGCGCAGAAGTCCATTCGTTTCTCTCTCTCACTCTCTCTCACTCTCTCTCACACTCTCTCTCTCTTTCTCTCTCTCTCTCTCTCTCTCTCTCTCTCTCTCTCTCTCTCTCTCTCTCTCTCTCTCTCTCTCTCTCTCTCTCTCTCTCTCTCTCTCTCTCTCTCTCTCTCTTTCTCTTTCTCTTTTTTTCTTTCTCTCTCTCTCTCTCTCTCTCTCTCTCAGTTTGCCCCCCCTCCACTGACACGAATTATGCCACAAAACCATTTCTTACGGGCGTGGTAATTGCCAGCGATGTTATAGCCACGGAATAAATTAACGGTAAACGAAGACTGAGCTGAGATCCAATTACCAAATTCTCTAGTGACAATATTTGCATGAAGACAATGAATCAATGCCAAGCGCACATTGGAAACTAAAACGATCAAGAAAGAACCGTCTCAACTTTGATCTTGAGACCGTTCTTCATCGCAAGTGACAAGCCGATCCTGTAGGTAATAGTTTGCCCTGGACCAACAGTGAGGTGATACTTGCTCAGCACACTAGCAGCAGTGATCTTTAGCTCCATCATCACTAGCTTGGTACCCAGACAGGTACGAGGCCCTGCGTTGAAAAGAGGGTACTTGAACGAGGGCACGCCAACAAGTTTTCCCGTCGACGCATCGATCCAGCGCTCTGGTTTGAATTCTTTCGCATCAGGGCCCCACACTTGGGGCATTCTTCCCATTGAGTAAGCTGACCAGCTTACAGCTTCACCGGCTTTTACGACGGTCCCATCGCACAGAATAACATCTTCAAGTGCTTCACGGATGTTGGACGGAATAGAAGGATATAACCGTAGCACCTCTTTCACAGTAGCTTCAAGGTACAACAGATCGTTTACTTGGGACGTAGATGGTGATGAAATTACACCATTTGCAAGCTCTGGGATCTTTGAGAAGATCTCGTCACGGATTTTCTCCTCAACTTCGGGATGTTGACTCACAGTGTAAAAGAACCAGCTGAGAGCTGCAGTCGTCGTGTCTCGACCTGCGGTCATGAAGGATACGACGATATCTCTCAGATACTTGGGATCGAGGTCTTGATCACTCTTGGCGTCGTCGCTAGCGCCGTCTAAGAACAACGAGATGATGTTTCTCTTTCCATCAGTAGCGACACTGCCCGCTGTCTTGCGCTCCTCCATAGAGCGGGAGATCATGTCGTAGCACGTGTTGTCGATGATCTGGATGCTCTTCCTCAGCCGGTGCTCGCTCCCCACGTCCAACCATCTCTGAAGCTTCCACAACCACATTGGCTCTAGGAACCGCTCAAACATCCTCTGTTGGACGAAGTTGAATGCTGCTTCCACCGGATGTTCCGATTTCGAGACTAGACCTCCAAACTTGATACCAAACGCGATCTCCGAGATGACTTCGAACGTGTATCGATTAAGCAAATGAAACAAATCCAGAGACTCACCGTTGTCCATGGAATGCTCTAAGATCTCATTCAAAGTGTTCACATTTTCCTGCACGACAGTTGCCATCGACTCTTTTAATTCTCTCATGGAGAACAAGCTGCTCGCAGTTTTGCGTTGCTGCATCCATTTGTGACCATCAACAGCGAAAACGCCATCTCCAATCAGGTCGCTGAGCACTTCATGGACGTATTCACCCTTACCGAAACTTTTGATCTGCGTGGACAAAATATCTTCAATGATCTCCGGGCTGCCTATGACGAACTCGGTAGGTCGACCAACGACGTCGAAAATCCAAGGCCTCCCCTCCATCTTCTCCGTCATTTCAGCCTCCCCATCATAATAGTGTTCAGCATGTTTGATTGCAGCCCAAGTTTCACCGATCAATGGGAGTGATTCGCGGTGTCGAGTTGCTTGTTTTGTTTGTCGGGTATCACCGTAAGCAGTGACAATCATCATCATGATTGTGAGGAATTACCTAATCTAAGTGCTTATTCACAAAGTACCAAAGTTTATTCTGGAATGTACTTAGATTAGGTAATTCTGCGGTATATGTTTTAATACATTGGTATTAAAAAAGGGTTTGAAAAACTTACGACAGATCCCTACGATTCTTTACGAGCCACCACACGCACGACGGAACGGGGAGGTTTCTACTTACTTCCACGTGATTGCAAAGCCAGTGGCAATGGACTGCTCACTGCTCAAGAGATTGATCTCCAAACGCTGTGTAGCGGAGTCGTACTTGGAGATAGAACCGAGAGAGACACTGGACGGCGACGACGTCACTCCGAGCACGATCACCTTGGTCACTACGGTCGACTGGGCTTCAGTATAATCGTTCTTCTCAACGATAGACGTGAAGGTGTCAGCTGACGCAGTGAACTTAACGATCGTGGCGCTCGGGCTGTTGATCGTCTCGCCGTCGTCCAGATAAAGGTCTCCAGTGGCACTACCACTGCCAGGTAGCGCAACGAGGATATCAAAGGGTGTGAGGCGTGCGGCCGTGCTGGTGAGCGCTGCCTGATGCATCGCTAGGATCGATCCACCGCGAATATGCACTAGCATGTCGTACAGAGTTACGGACGTCGTAACAGATCGACCCGTGCTGGAAATTTTAGAGTAGTCAAAGATGTTGTACCATACCCCGGCAGGATAGTAACCCGTCACCGACGTGGCGCCTTGGTTCACAACTGGAGTCACCAACAGCGCGTTGCCCAACATGAATTGGTAGTTGATGTCATAGGTGGCTGTATCAGTGGGAAATTCCATGAACAGTGGACGAGCAATAGGAAGACCTTCCACATGCGCGTGGTAACCGACCGTGTAGATATACGGCAGCAGACGATAGCGCATGCCAATGAACTTCTGCCCCACCGTCGTGACCTCCGGCTACACGTACGTCTCTTGATCCGGAGCTTCGAGATTGTTATGGTTACGCGCGAACGGGTAGAACGAGCCCAGAGCTGTCCACCGTGCACATAGCTCCATGTTGGAGGCCCCTGAGAACCCACAGATATCGGCACCGACCATAGGGATACCGAACAACCCGAACTTTAAGATAGTAGGGATCGACCAACGTAGATCGTTCCAAGTGGCGGCGTTGTCTCCAGTCCAGTGGGCGACGTGAACACCGCTTCCTGGGAACGTTGACCGAGACAGCACGAACGATCTCTTGTTAGCTAGCTCTTCCTGGACAGCATTCGTCACGATAGATTCAGTGATACCGTACAGGTTGTGAGCGTCGTACTGACGGATGTTGCCGTACTGCAACGCACTGGTCGAGATCCCTTTGTTGTAGATCGCGTCACGACTGTTGACGTTGTTGATTGCGAACGGCGGGTTATCGTACTTGTTGCCGTCACCGGAGCAGCTCAAGCAACACGTCGTGATGGCGCTAATACTTCCCGTGTTCGGACACGTGACGCCGGACTGGCGAACACAAGTCGTTCCTGGACAGAAGTTTGCCAGCTCGTTCATGTCGATCCAGAGACCGTCGAAGTTGTAGCTCTTGTACATCAACGTAATCTGTTCACCCCAGTATGCCTTTGCGTCGGGGTGGAAGAAATCTGGGAATACGGTCGGACCTGGCCATACTTGACCCAGATACGGCTTGCCACGTGTGTCCTTAATGAAGATATCCATGGACAAACCCTTAGTATATGCGTAGTCATTCGTGTCGTCCGGGATGCCTGGATCAATAATCGGGACGAATTTGTGTCCACTGGCGTGGATCTCGTCCATAAAGGCAGTCATCTTGGCCTGTGGGAAGTTAACCGGATCCAGCGTGAAGTCGTGGTAGTTCTTCATGTAGTCAATGTCGGCCCAGATGACGTCCAGAGGAAGGTTGCTGCTCTTGTACTTGTTCACAACATTACGTAGTGCATCGGTAGAGCCATAGCCCCATCGACACTGGTGAAATCCGTACGACCAGTATGGCATGAGCTTCGGGCGTCCAATGAGCTTCGTGTACTGCTTGACGACGTTTGCTGGGGTAGGACCAACGACGATGTTGAAGTCGAGCACACCACCGATAGTCTGGTACACGAGGTGTCCACTGTCCATTGTTACATCCATTCCATGCTGTTTAGCAGCAGTACTCCATGCGCTTGGCCGGCACTGTTCATTCCAAGGAAGAACGGATGTGATCCGTAAGTGTTGACGTTAGCCGAAGCGGATCCTTGGTCCCGCGCCCATAGCGTTTGTTTGTCGCCTGAAGCCATCTTGAACTTATCGCGAGTGCTCTCACCAATGCCGTACACGCTAAGGTCGCTGTCCAGAGCTGTTGCTACTTGGAGATATTGGTCTTTCACCACCAACGAGATACCGGACGAGTCGAAGAGCGTGTAGCCATCGGACTTCCGCACCACTTTAAATGTGAACAGGTTCTGTGTGTAGTTGAATGAATACAGCGGATCCGTCGCAGCAGATTTCGCCGTGCTGTCCGTTCCCAGAGTACCGGCAGTGAACAAGCTCTTGGGCACCTCCCAGCGCTTGTTGCTCTTGTCCACGATCTTCACGCGGACACTGTCGCTCTCCGTCTTAGTAACCGTAACCACGAGTGCCGACAGGTCCGTGCCGTACGGAGTCGAGGTCGGAGCAGCGTTTACTGCGAGGTTAATAGTGAGTACACCGGCATCTTCACTGGCAGACGTCACAGCGTAGCCTGGACCATTGACGTAGCCTTTAACGGACGGAGAAGACGTAGGTGTTGCCGTGTTCTGGTTTACGAACGCGTAAGTACCAGGCGATGTGCGAATGTAGTTAGCGTTCAGATTGCTGTCCCAGATGCCATTGCCATCGTCGAACGTGATCTCCACGCTTGAAGTGGACGAGGTGTCATATTGGTACCATCCGTTCGCAGCCGAGAACTTGCCGGCGTAGGTGCTGGATGACATGGCGTACCCCGGTACAGTCGTCCAGCCACTACCAGCATTGAAATGGATGTACGGCTTAGCCCACGTTATCGGTTAAAAGAGGATATGGTAGGCTGTGCCGTTGCCGTGCCGCACCAGATCACCTGTCTTGAAACCGGAGACCTTGCTGACGACCGAGTACGTTCCAGCTGCGGAGACCTTGTAGTTCGCATTGTTATTGTTGTCCCAGACAACCCCGACGCCGTCGTTGAAGACGAATTCGAGCGAAGTAGCGGAGGAGACGTCGAATTGGAACCAACCGTCGTTTGGCGGGTAGGCGGAGTTGTTGCTAGCGACCATGGCGACGCCAGGTGAGGTAGTCCAGCTGCTGCCAGTCTTATAGTGAATGTTGGGCGTGACCCACTTGTCCGTCCGGAACAGGAGATGTACGCCCGTGCCGCCGCTGGAGACGGTCGTTTGTGCCATCGTGACGGATGATAAAAGGTTGGAGGCCAAAGCCACGCACGCCAGGAGCGCTGTCGGCCGGGACTTGAACAGTGTCATCGTCTTGATGCGGAGGAGGAAGCAAAGTGGAAAATGAGACTCAATCCAACAAAGCTCACAAGGTCGCTTCAGCAGGCCACCAGGTTGGTGACCGAGGTGTACTCGCGAATCATCCTTGTTCAAGGGCACCGAGCCGCTAGCTTGAAGCTGTCTGGTGCGCGGGTGGGACTTCCGGCCAGGACACATTCCTTTGTTCACGTTGCAAATCACGAGTACTATCGTAAGCGTAGGATGTTGACCCTCCCGCTGTTCGACCAACCAATAAATCAAGTCGCGATCACGTTTGGCAGACGGGATCGAGTTAACAACTTCAACGAGGTCAATGACCAGCAGTCATTTAATGGAACAGCGAGCATTGTTCACGGACCACGTGATTCATGGAACTCGCAGAAGTAATCGTGGGAGCAATCGAGGGCAGTAGAGTTGTCAACGACAGGAAATGGATCCAGTGGCCGCGCTCGCATGCAGCATGTACGTAGAATTGCTGATCACGACTACAGTAGATACCGGTGGCGGGCAGAGATTGTTCACGACATGTTCATTGTGCACCTGACCGTCAACGTCTGGATCACGATAATAGAAACAGTTATTACGACCAAGTACTCGGTGTATTGTATTTCCACCTTATAGAAGAGGTCGCATTCAGGATCGACCACGTCTACTGTACAAGCAAGCCTTCGCAAGCGCGAAACAAAAAGTGCCGAAAATAAATTGTTGCAGCAACGATTGCATTATTTATTGGGATTCAAAGATGGATACATGTTCCAATTATCTGATCCGATAAATACGGTAAGTATTAAAACAACTCAGCCGCAGATCTTCAGCCAAAGGTCGTTTCGCACCTGTATCCGGATAGGTGTAATTACCGGAAGTGTACCCTAGATCTATTCCCTCTTTCGAGCAGCTTCTCGTTCCCTTGATAATAATCATAAGCTCAAGTGAAGCGTACGCTTCATGATAAGTGCTGTTAAGCTTACTGCAAAATTTACGGCACAAATCTACCATTTCAGAACCAATAAAGTATATAAAAAGAAAACGCCTTGCGGAGCAGCACGACAGCATCAACACAGCACAGGACGAGACTGGTGATCTACAGTGCAGCAGCATATGCCTCGGCGAGCTGTACAACATCTGTGCCCTGGTGTAGAGCGACTAGGTGAGTGGTGGTCTCTTCACGCCTGCTGCCTGTAGTTACCATGTATAGGATACTTGAGTAATACTGTAAAGTGCAGGGACGAAAGTACAGCAGGTAGAAATGCCGCGGTGCGCAAGTTGACGAGTGAGCAGCTGTATCGACATCCAAGCCCGTTGTGTATTTGTAGGATTTGAAGTAGAATGGGGCGTGCAACTTGCCAGCCTGTGATCCGTAGTAGTGTGGCTCAGGACGCGCGCAGCACGTCCCGGGGGTACCTGCGCAGCATGTGAAGCTTGGCTCTTCGTCTCCACTCGACACTCCTACTTGATCATGAAGAGCATCTTCAACACGATCATCTTAAAGATCACTGCGATCTCTTTGGTACTATCACACTACGCAGCAGCTATAGTACTGTCATCGCTCCGTCTTCGCCTTCTTGCTTGCATGAACGAAAATTAGTAGATGGCTGTCAGCTCACGCGCAGCGATGACGCTTGGCTCCCATTGGACAAGCTGAGTCGTGCTGACGGTCGATGCGCGGCACCTTCATTCCGTCTCGCTCGACAGCGGTCGAACATTTCCTTCGGCAACGGCTTCCTCATCGCGTGGGCGATCATATCGTCGGTGCCGACACGGCGAATGGAGCCGCTCGTACTCCACCAAGGTGAGACTTGTTCAATATGTGCTTGCTCTTGCTGTGTGTTTCGAGGCTTGACAGTCAGATCGATGCATGACTTGTTATCGCCGCAGATCTCCGGCGTCGCAAACGCCCAGCGTAGCTCCTCACAGAGTCCCATTAGCCACTGTAGGTCTCTGGTTCCTTCATTAAGTGCATTATACGCTGCTTCCGTTGTGCTCTGTGCGTTTATCTCTTGCTTTCTTGATCCGTACGAAATCACATTACCATAGACAAACGTCACCAACCCGATCACACTCTTTCGGTCATCAGGGTCATTCATCGGTGTAACACGTCAGCTCGACGTTGTTCCCGGCATCGATCTTAATCCCTAAGCTGTAGTTGTCGGTAGCAGCTAGGTAGCGTAGCACTCGTTTGACCATTGCATAATGTGTGTGGTCGAAATATGACAGGTACTTACTGAGATGACGCACAGCGTGCGCAATGTCCGATCTTGCGGCTGAGACTAGATACTGTAATGCACCAACGAGCTTTCGGTACGGGGGCGGTGTATCATCTTGGACGGGATTGACCACCTCGGCGCGCAGCGCCTCCGGCGCAGCAATCGCATTGCATCATTTCATATGAAATCGCTTCAGCACCTCCCGAACGTACTGCCGCTGGTAGAAGATCGCATGCCGCCGCTGGCGATCGATCGAAACCTCCACGTCGAGTAGATATTTGACTGTTCCGAGAGGAGTGAGTTCGTACTCCTCACTGAGTTGCTTGGCAACCTGAGCGCATAGGTTTCTTGGGCCAAGTAGTAGGATGTCGTCAACGTACACCTTGAGCAGCATGGTGACTTCTCCTCCACGTTTCTGGCGCAACGACCGTAGTTAGAGTCGATGCGCTAGAGTCCTATCTTCCTCAGAAGCTTGTGTAAAGTATTGTGCTAAAGGCGCGGCGCTTGCTTCAGTCCATACAAACCCTTCTTTAGTTTGCAAACGTATAACGTAGAGTCCTTTTAAGAACCTGGAGGCTGCTCCATATAGACCACTTCATCGAGATAACCGTACTAGAACGCGGTCTTTACGTCAAATTGAAAATAGTCGATTTACGTTGCATCGCGAACACGATCACGCATCTGATCGTCTCAAACCTGATGACAGGCACGTAGGTTTCACTGTAGTCGATACCCATGCGCTGTCAAAATCCTTAGATGACCAACCTGGCTTTGTATCGCTTGACCCTGCCGGTTGAGTCCCTATTTTAATACGTTAATTGCCCTTGGCTTATGTGCGCGGTACCAGCAACCAAGCCCCGTGTTGCTGCTGTGAGTCCATCTCGACTTTCATGGCACCTTTACACTTCTTTTACCTCTTAGACCTTGACACATGTTTGTGACTGATAGAAATCGGCACGTCCCCAGCGCGCTGCACCGTTACGCTCGTCACTACGTAGTCTTTGAGGCGGGCGAATTGCTGTCGCTTCCGCTTCGGTCGCGATGCAGCGATGCTACTGTCGTTCGGCGACGACTTCTACGCCTTGTGTGGTTCCCAAATGCCGTCGTCGTGAGCGTCACGCTGACCGCCCTGGTCTTCCCTCTTTCTTTACACTGCTGTTTCATTTTCTTTTTTTTGTGGTCTTTCTTCGCGTGGAACCCCCCACTGAAGCTGCTGGATCAGCAGTCTTCTCTGCGTTTTCTATTGTCCGTACTGGGTCACCACTCTGAGTCGCTGACTCAACTTCAAGTTCTTCAATTTGGTCTTGGGATTTCACCAGCTATAGAGAGCTCCTCCATCTGCGCTGCTCGCTTTCCAACAAATTCTGCAGGCAACTGTAGGTACGTAGACATTGTTGTCCGGATCGGCGCCATCGGGATTTTCGCAGGAACGTCGTAGTCTCTGTAGCTGTAAGCATTCAATAGAAGTTGTTCAATGTACACGCTGTGCACAGTATACTTCTCATGCGCTTTCATGTTTCCATCTCACCACGTCTCAATGCTTCTGTGCGCAGGTCTAGCAGCTTGTAGCCATTCGCCTTCTCGCTGTAGAAGCGTAGTAAGCACATTTTCGTCCTTTTAGTAAGCTTCTCCTTCCTATGACGATTATCTTCGAAAATGTGAGCGTGCACCAAGCATCCCCGCGTGCGCAGCACGCCGGTCACTCTCCGTACAGTGCTTTAAACGGGGACAGCTTGTCCTTCAACGCCTGCGTCGGCGTCTAATTCATCATTTCAATAGCATGTAGGAAGTCCTTTCGCCAAAATGAAACTGACATCTGCGTAGCTTGTAGCATCGAACGGACCTGTCGCATGACGGTCTGGTTCATGCGCCCCACGATCGCGTTCTCCTGCGGCCTGTAAGGCCTCTAAGATAGCGTGTCGATGCCGAGGTCCTCGTAGAAGTCCACGAGCTTCTTGTTTACGAGCTCGTCACCACCATCAGAGAACTACATCTTGATGATCGCCTTCGAAAACTGGTTCTAAATTCAGCGGATTTGCTTCTGAATCCGTTCAGTGGCTTCGGCTTTGTAGGATACCAAATAACCGCATTTGTACCTCGTAGCTTCGTCAATAACTCATAGCAACTGATTTGACTTTGAGATAGTGTCGACACCCACGTTGCATCAATCGATACAAAGGTTTTGCAATGGCTTTGCAGAGCGAGAAGGCTTGCGCTTGTAGCCCATGCACTTCGTCTTTGACTCTAACCACGGAATGCATTCGTAAAGGGAAAAACGCTTCAGTTGCATGTTGATACCAAAGTTATAGTCTTGTGCTGACATAGCCTTGATAGTCTCCATGTTTACGTGGCCCAGACGGTTGTGCAACAACGCCGTCGGGCTATCCAGATCACTTGTCTTGACACTCATCACGTTCTTGCACTGACGCGGCGTCCTCATGCGATACATCCCGCGGACGTAGTAGAGGCGCAGCTTCAACGGGTCTTTGACAAGTCACATGACCTTCCGATCTTGCGAAAGTTGTACTTTGAAGTCGCCCTTGAGCTACATGAAGGTTTGCGATATCAGGTTGTAGGGAGCCGACTTAGAGTAGCTCACGTCATCAAGGAGGCACTCCTCAATCGTGCCCGTGTGCTCATTCACCACTTGCATGTGCATGGTGCCCACCGTCACGCGCCCCATGGTGCCATTGCCAAACATCAGCTCCGTAACCGAGTCTGTATGTAGTTCTGTGAACAGGGTCAGGTCACTTGAGACATTGGTTTGCGCACCACTGTCCGACACCC